TCCTACCATCCTCCAGAGTCATCCGAAAGATGACCGAGGTGTGGTTGGTCGAGGCGGGCTTGAGCCCGGTACCTCGAGGTATGCCTTGAGAAGGTGGCAGTGGGCCTTTTTATTTTTCTCGTTTGGGGTACTAACCGGGGTCGATATGCTTGTGCAGAGATGGTGAACCTCGCTGTGGTGCGTGGAGGACGCGTCCCGCATGCCGCATCTCCGCGGCGCCAGGTCGGCCTGGGCGTCGGCACCAGAGAGGCGCCGGTGGAGCTCGAGGTCGTCCGTCCTCGAAAGAAGGCCAAGGTTGTTGCTTCGAAGAAACTGACTCCCCCAAGGACTCAGGAGAGCGTGGGGGCGGCGGAGTCGGGCTCACGCGACAGGCGAGGACGGGGTCGGGGCGAGGCCAGCCCGAGCAATGAAGTGGCGGGGAAGGCGCCTAGGGAGCCTTCGATCCGGGACTTGTGTCTTCTGCCCGCGGGGCTGCCGAACGACTCCTATCAGGCGCGCCAGATGGGCGAGCTTACAGAGGGCCAGCCTTCCGACCGGCTGGTAGCCCGCTGGGGGGGACTGACCCGCGGAACCCGGGTGTGGGCCGACGGGGAGACCGCGGCCGCGTTCCTCCGAGGAGGGCTGCATCCCGACATGGCTCGGGAGATGTATACCATGCCTTCGTACGTACTGCTTGGTAAATCTGTGAAGTCATTGCTGTGGGTAAGCGTCCAGTCGTTGGTTTCCGGCCTGTGGTTTGTCCGAGGATTGTTCTGACTTTCCTTTCGCAGGGCCAGCACTACGCCATGGCATTGGCGGATCGCGTACGTGATGCAGGTCGGGCGCTGGGCATCCTGTGCGACCGGAATACCGAGCTGCGCAGGCAGCTCAAGGAGGTTCACGCAGGGGCGGCTCCGGAGGCGGTCGCGACAGCCGAACAGCGTTCCTTGGAGCTCGAGGCGGAGGTGACGCGCCTCCGGGTTGAAGCGGGGGCGGCCGACCAACGTACATCGGCGCTGGAGGCCGAAGTCCTTCACTTGAAGTCCGAGGCGAAGGCGGCTGAGGAGGAGAGAGACAACTTCCGAGAGCTCCTGGGGAGGGCGCAGTCCGAGGCTTGCCTGGCCCGAGGCGAGGTGGCCGTCCTAACCCAGTGGCTGGAGGGAGCCCTGGCCGACGTGAAGGGGGCCTCGGAAGCTCTGGCGGCCGAGCGGGAGCGGCGGCCAGAGAAGGAGAAGGAAATAATTGAAGCTTATAAGCGGTCCTCAGGCTTCCAGCTCGGGCTGGTTCGGTCGGGGCAGGTCACCTACGAGTACGGGTACCGGATCGCCCTGGGCCGGTTTCAGATGCGCCACCCCGGGCTGGAGGTCGAGGCAGATCCGTTTGTCTCGCACCCCGAGGACTTGGATGTGGATATGCCGGAGGAAGTTCCTTTCGATGATGGCGTCGAGGGTACCGACGATTAGGACTGTGTCGAGGTCGGCTTGGCTGAGCTGTTATCGAGTCCTGTAACCTTCTTTTGTAATCTTCGAGTTCAGTCGCAGTTGAGTCTTGTAATTCCACGCTTCAGAAATAGAGAGGTCTTTTCCCAGCATGTCTTTAAGCTTCAAAAACTGCAAAGCTTCGACTTGGAAGAGAAACCATAGGTATCGACCTCAGACAAAGAATTTTTTAAGGTTCTGGACGTTCCATGTTCTCGGTAAGGGAGAACCGTCTATCGCGGTGAGCCGATAGGTGCCCGGTCGGACCACCCTGGTGACCCGATAAGGTCCCTCCCACTTGGGGGCCAACTTCCCCCTCGTTCGGGTTGGGTCACTGACCTCGGCCCTTCGTAGGACTAGATCGCCTAACCTGATCGGTCGGGGTTGCACCTTTCTGTTGTAGATCCTTTCGACGGCTCTCTGGTGAGAGAGGGCCTTTAGGTGCGCGTCGGCGCATCGCTCCTCGAGCACGTCGAGGCTGGCGCGAAGTCCCTGGTTCGAGGCTTCCTCGTCGTAACTCCTTGTCCGAAGCGTGGTGACAGCCATTTCGGGTGGTAGGACGACCTCGGTTCCGAACGTCAGGCTGTACGGGGATTCTCCAGTCGCCGTCTTGGGAGTGGTGCGCAGCGACCACAACACACTGGGGAGCTCGTCCGTCCAGATCGATCGGGCCGCAGACACTCTTCGTCTGAGGCCATCCAAGATGGATCGGTTGGTTACCTCGGCCAACCCGTTTGTCTGAGGGTGGGCCACCGAACTGAACCTCAGTTGAATGCCATGACCGGCGCAGAATTCCCGGAACCTTGTGCCGGCGAACTGAGGTCCGTTGTCAGTGATGATGGCCTTGGGCAACTCGAACCGAGTTACCAGGTTCTTCCACACGAATTTCTCTATTTGCTGTTCCGTGATCGTTGCCAGTGGCTCGGCCTCGACCCACTTTGTGAAGTAGTCTACCCCTACAATTATGTACTTCCGTTGTCCAGAAGCCGGCGGGAAGGGGCCGAGGAGGTCCAGCCCCCACTGCGCGAATGGCCATGCGCAGTCGATGGGGCTGAGCGGGACCGCGGGCTGTCGAGGTGCGCGGGCGTGTTGCTGGCACGACCGGCACCGCTGTACGTAAGCTTTCGCGTCCCGGCACATGGTCGGCTAGTAGTAGCCTTGGCGGAGTATTTTGTGCGCCAAGGTTCGCCCGCCGATGTGCTCGCCGTAGACCCCCCCGTGGGTTTCGGCTAGGACCGACCGGGCTTCGTCAGGCTCCAAGCATCGTAGGAGGGGATAGGTGAAGGACCGTTTGTAGAGGCGGCCACACTCCTCGGTGTACCACGCATGCGTGCGACGCAGGCGCCGAGCCGCGCCTTCGTCGAGGGGAAGGGTTCCATCCGTTTTGAAGTGTAGTAGCTCTTGCACCCACGTGATTGGCGCGCTGCTTGGGGCCGTCGTTGCTATTTCGATGGTGCGGGTAGGGAGTTCCTCAATCTTCGTCCCTGCTTCAGGGGTTGGTCTCGATGCCAGCTTGGCCAGCGCGTCGGCTCGCTCGTTCTCTTCCCTCGGAACATTAGACAGCGTAAAATAATGGAACTTGGCGGTTAGGTCCCTTACCCGGGCTAGGTATTTCGCAATGGTTGTGTCCCTAGCTTCGTACCCGCCGTTGAGCTGTTCGGCCACAAGTTGCGAGTCGGTGTGGACGTGTATCGCGACCACCTGCATCTCGAGGGCCAGCCTCAGTCCTGCTAAGAGCACCTCGTACTCCGCCTCGTTGTTGGTAGCTTTAAACCCGAAGCGGAGGGAGCGCTCAAACGAGCGTCCGTCAGGGGCGAGGAGTACCAGCCCTGCGCCGGCACCCTTTGAGTTGGCCGAGCCGTCGACGTGTAGGGTCCAAACCTCGGGAGCCTGCTCGAGATTTATATCTTCCATTCGAGTCAGCTCCGCGATGAAGTCGGCTACCGCCTGGGCCTTAATGGCGGTCCTGGGCAGGTATCTTATGTCGTGTTCGCCGAGCTCCACCGCCCATTTGAGGAGCCGTCCTGCCACATCAAATTTTGTTAAGACCTGCCGGAGAGGTTGATCGGTGACGACTTCCACCGGGTGTGCCTGGAAGTAGGTGCGCAACTTCCGAACCGAGAGCACCAGGGCAAGCGCGAGTTTCTCTATCGGCGGGTAACGTTCCTCGGGTCCACTCAGGACGTGGCTGACGTAGTAGATTGGGAGCTGTTGGCCGGAGCTTTCCTTGACCAGGACAGAACTAACTGCATGCGGGGAGGCCGCCAAGTAGAGGCCCAGCCTCTTGCCGGGGGAGACGGAGGCGAGCCGGGGAAGGCTGGCCAAGTGCTGCTTCATCTGTTTGAAAGCCTCCTCGCATTCCGACGTCCACTGGAAGTTCTTCGGGCTTTTAAGCGCCTTGAAGAATGAGAGGCAACGATCGCCCGATCGGGCGAGAAAGCGAGACAGAGCGACCAGTCGGCCGTTAAGTCGCTGCAGGTCCTTAACCGTCCGGGGGGACTGCATATTGATTATTGCCTGAACCTTCTCCGGGTTGGCGTCGATTCCTCTCTGGTGTATAACGAACCTGAGGAACTTTCCGGAGGTGACGCCGAAAGCGCACTTTGTGGTTTTGAGCCGCATGCCGAACTTGCGCAGCGTGGCGAAGGCCTCGACCAAGTCTGCAAGGTGCGTTCCGGCCTCTCGGCTTTTCACAATCATGTCGTCCATGTAGACTTCCATGTTCCTCCCGATCTGATGGGCGAACATCTTGTTTACTGTCCTCTGGTATGTGGCCCCAGCATTCTTTAGCCCGAACGACATGACCTTGTAGAAGTACACCCCTTGATCAGTGAGGAAGGCCGTGTGCTCTCTGACTTCGGGCGCCATCCTGATCTGGTTATACCCTGAGTAGGCGTCCATAAAAGAGAGTCGTGCGTGGCCGGTCATCGCATCGACTAGCTGGTCGATCTTTGGGAGGGGGTAGCAGTCTTTAGGGCATGCATTGTTAAGGCTGGTATAATCAACGCACATCCTCCAGCTTCCATTGTGTTTTTTCACGAGGACAACATTGGACAACCATCGAGGATATTTGGCTTCTTCTATGAAGCCTGCGGCTAAGAGCCTGTCCACCTCCTCTTGTATTGCACGTTGTCGGTCAAGGGCCTGGCACCGAGGCTTTTGTTTCACTGGGCGAGCGTCAGGCGGGATGTTGAGGTGATGCTCCGCAACCTCTGGATCGACACTCGTCATGTCTGACGGGGACCAGGCGAAGACGTCGGCATTTTCCCGTAGGAGACCGATGAGCTGCTCTCGTTCCCGTTCGGGTAGCTCAGATCCGACCTTGACTGTCTGGTCCGGGCGAGCTTCTCGCAGAGGAATGTCAACAGTGGATCCCCTCGGCTCGGGGTGGGGAGTCAGTTTTTTTGTTTCCCGCGGGTCTTCCAGGGACGCCTCGGTCCTGGCTCTCTTGTCCATTGTAACGGAGGTGAGGTAGCACCGTCTGGACTCTCGGGGGCTTCCTGTGACCTCCCCCACTCCCGCACGGGTTGGGAACTTGATGGTCTAGTAGTAGGTCGAGACGACGGCTCTGACCTTATTGAGGGTCGGCCGACCAAGTATGGCATTGTAAGCAGTGGGGAGGTCGACCACCAGGAAAGTGGTCATCACTGTCTTCGACCTTGGTGGGGTCCCCAGGGTCAAGGGCAAAGTAATAGCCCCCAGGGGCGATATTGAATCTCCCGTGAAACCAGTGAGCGCCGAGCACATCGGGCTTAGATTTTCCCTGGCCAGGCCCAGCTTCTGAAAGGCATCGAAGTAGAGTATGTCGGCCGAGCTCCCCGTGTCGACCATGATCCTCCTTATTTGCGCGTTGGCTACCCTGGCCGATATCACCAAGGCGTCATCGTGGTCAGGTCGCTCGGCAGCTCCGGTGGGGAAGGTGATCTCGGGCTCGGGCTCATGTTCCGAGGCTTCGTCTGGAGCGGCTCGGGCATACGCCTTTCGGCCCAACATGGAAACTCCCCCGGATGCGGGGCCCCCGGCTATCACATCAATGTGTCGCTCGACGGGGCCCTCTGGGCGAGGCGACTGCTCTTTGTGCGGCCGGAGGTACTGGCCGAGATGACCCCTGAGGATAAACTCCTCGATTTGTCTCTTCAACTCGTAGCACTGCTCAGTGTCGTGCCCGTGTTGCCGATGAAATCGGCAATACTTCGAATGGTCCGCGAGCTCCCACGGGTTCTTCATCGGGTGAGGGTCCCTGAGGAGCCCCTTTCCCCTCTAGTGTAGGAATATTTCAGTCCGGGAGGAGTTCAAGGCGGGAAGAGGGGGCCTCAGGTCAGGTCTGTCCAACTTTCGCCGGGAGGTGGCGGGTTGTTGCTGTCGGGGCGGCTCTGACTTGACCTTTTTGTGCTCCTCCCGCTTTCCAGCCATTCAGGTTTCCGCGGCGATAAACTGACTGGCGCGCTGGAGCATCTCCGGGACCGCGACCGGGGGCCGCTCTACGAGCGACCAGAAGAACCTAGAGGGGCGCAGGCCAGTCATGAAGGCCTGCATCAAGAGAGAGGGGTGAGCATCCGACAATCCACGGATTTGCGTCGTAAATCGGTTCACAAAATGGGAGAGGGGCTCATCCTCCTTCTGGTTGAGCCCCAGAAGCAACGCCATGGACGGCTTTGGTCGGGCGTATGCCAGGAAGTTGAGCTCGAAATCCTTGGCGAGCTGATCGAAGGAGGCGATGGTATCCGGCTTCAGGCCGCTGTACCATGTGCGGGCCGGTCCCCGCAGAGTCGTTGGGAACGCCCTGCACATCAGGGCGTCTGAAGTCCCGAACAGCACCATCTGGGCATGAAAAGCGGCTACGTGGTCCGCTGGGTCAGCGGTGCCGTCATACGCGTCCAGCGAGGGGAGGCGGAAGTGCGGCGGGATCGCCTGATCTTGTATCTCGGGGGTGAATGGAGATCCTTGGTGCCCGTCCGTCCCGAGCTCTCCCTTTGACTTGCGAACCTCCTGTTGTACCTCGTCAAGCCTTTGACTGACGAGGCGCAGTTGAGTCCGTAGGGCATTTGTCGAATCGGCGGTCGGGGCCTCGGGCTCGGGACGGCTCGCCGTTTCTTCTGCTTCTCGGCTCCCGGGCCGAGCTGCGGGGTTTTGAAGTGAGATGGGGGGCTCAGGAAGTGGTGCGCGAGTCTGGACAGGGGGCTTCCGTTGTGGTGAGAGCCGGGTCGCGTGCGGAGGGGTCCGTTGGGAGACGAACGGGATGACGGTCTGGACCATGCTTGTCAGGGTCCGGACTTGGTGGGCGAGGTCGTGAAAGGCCTCGGGTGACACTTGCGACGGGCTGGCGGGTGCGCCGTCGGGGGGCGACAAGCCTGGGTCATTGAACAGTCGCCAGTAGCGTTCTGATACCGCCGCGGGGCGTTCGTCGTGGGTTTCATCATGTGGGGGATGCTCCCCCAAGGCGGGGAGCTCAGCAGCTGAGGATCCGCCGAGGTGGATTCGCTGATCGCCTGACATTCGGAAGGCCCTCCTTCTAGCGCCAATCTGTTACGGATTCGTGACTTTTTTAGCCGTGACCTCGGGGTCGACGCGGCTGGTTCCGGGCTCCGAATGACTGGGATCGGACGTGGCTTCCCTCGGGGTGTTGTGGTGGCCGACACAGGGGACCTGGCTGGAAAGTTCTGCGGCGCCAAGTGGATTCAGCAACGATCGAGTACCTACACACAGGTCGGGTCGGTTGCTCGGCCCGACCCCTCCGACGATCAAGTTAGTGATGGTGGAGAGGAGTTTTTTTTTAGTCTCCTTGCCCGTGGGGAGCCAGGGGGTATTTATAAATGGGTTTGATGTTACCTGACGTGCCATCCTGTCGGGGCAGGGTCGTACCTCTGACGGCGTCTATCGTCATCATGGACGTTGCGTGGGAGGCCGAGCCGCCGCAGGGTATGGGGGTGTCAGTCATCGCCTTCGCCTGCCTCGGCCGGCCCCGAGGGGTCAGCCGAGGAGGTTGTTCGGGTACGGTGGGTGTGGGTGCGTGTCGTGTCGTTGTTAATGCTCGTTCTGGGGCAGTGTGCCGCCCAGGGTGTCCGACGTGGGGGTGTATTACGTCAAATCCGGGGTGTTACGTCAAATCAATTTTTCTTACCCCTATCACGTGTAGTTCTCTCGTAATTTATGTGTTTAATCTCATGGCTTCTAGAAGATCCTCTAGGGACAAAGGGAAGAGGAGATTAGATAAAAATTATGACTCCCTACTTTTTGATTCTAGTCAACATGCCCTAAAATTTTCTTCCATAGAGTCTAGACATGTTCATAAGGGTAAATATGTTGATTTAGATGAATTAAGTGGTTTGGAACCTATTCAATTGTTTGCAAATCTAGATATTCTCCTAATTCTTTAAATGGTTGAACCTATCTACCCTATACTTGTTAGGCTATTTTACAATAATTTACATGTAGATGAAGAAGAAAGGGTATCTACCTATCTATTAGGACATCATATACCCATTACGGATAGATCTATTTGCAACATCATAGGAATTCCGATAAAAGAAAGAGGGTGTTATTTTAGAGGACAATGGGATGAAGAAACAGTTAGGACTACTTACGTTGATGTCTTAGGAATAATTTTTGCTAATCCTAACTTAACTATTCTTCCAAAAAGCTGTGAACATTTACTATCCTTAAGCACCAAAATACTTCATTACATCATGATAAGTATCATTCTCCTAAAATAATATCATTATGATGAAGTAAGCCAAATGGAATTGGGTACCATATATTGGATTATGAAGGGACATAACAATTATTTTGGTTACCTAATCAAATAAAATATGATTAAATTATCAAAAAGAAATATGATGCTTCCATATGGTGGCTTAATCACAAGACTACTCCATGCCTATGATATTATCATTCCATCCGACGAAAAAGTTATAAAACTAGACATATTTAGTATCATAAATAGAAATCTACTTCGATGGATGAGATGTACATTTATAAATTGTATATGAACTAGACTGCCTAGAAGGACTGATCCCCTCCAACCAGAACCAGAACCTGAAACACTAATTTTTAAGGATAATCTATCTCTTCCAACTAGTCCCTTTGAGGAATCACCTCTAGTAAAGTAAGCACCTCCCTCATCTATCGACGACATAGGGACTCGGATAGATCATTTTGAACAACGACAAGATTGACTTGAACAACGTCAAGATCAAATCAGTTACAACAGATTCACCGACAGTTTAATACCTTGTTTAGACATTTTAACTTACCACCACCTGAATGAGTAGGGAATGAAATCTCTCTATTGTATTATGCTTACTTTTATGTTGTAATCTTATGTTGATTACCTTGCTGTTTGTAATCTTAAAATGCTCCTTACTTTGATGCAAAATTTTCGTTGTAATCTCTTTTATGTTGTAATATTATGTTGCCTACTCTAATGGTGAAATTCTGTGCTTACTTTGATGAATGTATCACTTTAAGAATTAAACTTGATAAATCTTTTAAATGAATAAATTCTTTGATACATTCAACTTTTGGTATTTATAACCTGACGCATTATTTGATGATTATTTGCGAAGTTAGGAATGTTAATTTGTCCGAATGCATGAATTTATCAAATTTCATTTTTGGACTTTCTTGATTCTTTGGATCACTCACTTAAATCTTCTCCTCTTTTGATGCTGAAAATCGTTTACCTTAATGTTGTAAACTTAAAATGTTGTTTACTTTGATGTTGGAATTTTGTGTTTTGATGCTGAAAATTTCTATGATGATTATGATCTCTATCGAATATTGAGAAGTTTTAATCATATATGTTATATTATTGGATTCTTAATATTATGAACTTTTGAATGCTACAATGCAATAATAATGATATTTCATGCAAAGAGTGATGAAAGGCTATCTCGAAATATTTTATCATGTATAAAGTGATTGTGCATTTAAATATCTTGATGTTTGATATATGGAAGTCATTGACAAATACATCTCTTATGGATTTCACTTTTATGAATTTTTAATGAGAAATGGATTTGATGTAATGCTCTTCTCAAATGATGCATTTCTCCTTCTCATGAAAAATGAATAAATGGATATCTTAATCCTTGAAAGATGAATTTTCGTGTGTAATAATTATTTGCAAGATTGGGGATTTGATTTCGTATCGACTTCTTGATCCTTTTCATGAATCCCTCCTCATTGTTAAAATGAAAGCATGTTTTAACGAAAACTTATTTATTATTTTTGACTTTATTCAAATTATTTCACAAATTTAGTTCTTAATGGATTCCCTCCTTACCTTCCTCTTCTTCATGCAAAGTAGTCATGACAAAAGGGGGAGAAGTTGATGGAATCTATCGCTTTAATATTAATAACATTTTATGATGAGAACTTTTGAACGTGAAACTTGCTTGAATTTTTTTTTACCACACTTACATTATTGAATTGTTCTCCTTTTTGTTGATGACAAAGGGGGAGAAATTATACCAAAATGTGGTAAATTGATGATAAAATGATGACAAATGTATGCAATGTATTTCATCATATATACTTGAAATGTTTGCTTGATGATAAGATATCTAGAGCTTAACTTGCTATTTTACAAGTGATATCTTACCATAAAATGATGAATTGCTATCTTTGTTATGTTTCATATTTGAAAATCATACTTGAAAATGGATGTCATGCCTTGACATCATTTTGATAAAAACTTGGCATCATATTTTGAAGAATGTTAGATCATGATAGGAATCATAATGTGCATGTTGACAAGTTTCGTGAATTTAACTTATCGGTTTGATTCTTGAATTCAAAGGCCTTGAATTCAAGAATGTCTTTTATCAAGTATGGCATATAGATAGAGGGAGTTAAGGTTAACTCTATTATCAATTGATTGTCATCATCAAAAGGGGGGAGATTGTTGAATCTTGGATTTTGATGATGAAGTCAATTGTAATTTGTTTGATCTAATCTATATATTGATAAAAGTGTACAGGATTAACTACGATAGCAGTAAGACATAAAGTAGGTGTTGTGCTGGAGTCAAGATCGAGATCTCATTGGGAGTTCAAGAGTTCGACGGAAGTCCGAACGTTCGTCAAAAATTCTACCGAAACCAACCGAGAAGTCCAAGAGCTTACCAAAGAAGCTCGTCGAAACTCGCCAAGAAGATCGTCGTAAAGTCCAGGAGCTTGCCAGGAGTCCGCCGGAATATTGCCGAGAGTTCATCGGATGTTCGCTGG